TAGAAAAACAACCTGTGGAAACTGTGTGTCCTACCATAACTTAAAGGGGGCAGCTACATTGCTCAGGGCTCCAGTCTGCTTGGATACTGGTTGTACATAAAAAACTGTAGGAATAGGGAACTTTAATGTATATTCATCAAGGCAATCCTTGTGTTTCTGGGAAGCTAATAATGTGACTTTTTGGGGCAGATTTCATACACCAGCTGCAGTAAGTATTCTCCTACTGCTTTGGGCATTTTTGTAGCTGTCACAATGTTGTGACAACGTTGTAGATAGCTACTTCTTGTGTTGAAAGCAGCCTAGATACAGCAGCAATCACTGCAATTCAGGCTAAGTCCTAAATATTTATTGGCTTCCTGGGTAGATTTTACAGCCTTCACTGAGCCACAGGCTTCTATGTCTAGGCTGCTGTCACTATGGAAGATAACTGGTTTTAAGATAATTCAGGTGTGTCTACACTTCACACACAACACTGGCAGCAGCATTAACACATCATTTAGTATTCCTGGAGTTTGCATCACTCCAGCTTGTGTGCCATCTGTTAGCCACATACAAACCAGAACAGCTTTAATATGTGCTTTAAAAGCCAGGGAAGTACAAAGCAGCTGTCTCCATGTTTCTCAAGGTAGGCCATTTTTATCCAGAAAATGGTACCTCCTTAGACTGTACCACATGGACAAAATTCTTTTTCCTCTATATCTCTGCAACATGAGAAACAGTCTGCTTCAGGCACTACAAGACAATAAACTACTCACAGGACAATCCAATCTGTAGGAAAGGGGATTTTGCTAGTGGCATGGTCTCAGTAGCAGTACAAGCTAGGGAAGAATTTGAAGTCTAGTAGAGCAAAAATTTTGCTGAATGGTCAAAGTATTTCCTGTTAAGCTCCTTCTTAGTTTTAAAATTATTTTGGAATTTGTTATTGGCTCTTTTTTAGTAGAAGAGTGAAGTGTTAGTTCAGCTGTAAATGAACATGATTAACATGGAGACTGCAATCTCCATCCTTAAGCATATGGTTATGAGCAAGTTTGTTCCACTGCAAGGGCATGGTAGAGTGTGTATATCTCACTGCCCTGTGCTGTGGGGTCAGATTTAAACACTCCATGATTTGCTTCATTTGTTACTGGAACTTGAGATGCAGTAATTTGTGGTAGCAACCAAAGTGGCAGTTGTGGATTCCAGTTTTCACTCATTCTGACTGGTACCTTCCTTCTTTTCTTTCTTTCTTCATCATGCAACATTGAACTCTATTTACTCAGCTGTGGCCTGGAGACAGGAAGGAGCAACGTGGTCATACACCAAAACTGCCCTTGTTTATTCCCAGCAGCTCTTGGCAGACAATGTGGTACATGGGCAAATGTAATTTTCTGCATGGTCTTCACTGACCTTGCTGTAGGGCATAGGAAAACAGTGATCACAGCAAACTGAAGATACCTCCTAAGGTCTGTGGTGATCCCACTTCCTGTATAAAAGGTACCCAACTATAGTCTGAAAAATTGGTATGATTTGTTGGTCAGGCGCCTGGGGTGTCTACAGGCTGAGTTGTGTTACAGCCTAAAAAGGTCTGCCTGTGTGCTTCACTGAATAATTTGGTGCCATTTCCCCAGGCATTAGAAACAAAGTGTTTCTTTAGAGCAGGAACTTCTCTGCACCGCTTCAACTTTATGGGCAGTTTCTAGTCTAAATGGACCATTTGCCCAAAGATTGAAACTGTAATTAATTTCACTTTTATTGACAACGAACTTCATTCTCTAATGTGCTGGTTTGGAGTGGATCTCTGCCATCCTTTCACAAATTTTTTCGGATCAAATTTTGCTTTTATTCTATATTGTTTTGTTGTTTTATGGTAGAGGTGAAAGGAGGATGCTGTGGTTTGGTAAGAAGACAGAGAAGAAAAAGACAGCATGAATTATTACAAGTTTTTAAACTATGTTATTTCTGCCAAGTGAGAGATCTCTATTTATGCCTCAAAACTAATGCTCTCTTAGGGCCCAGTTACCTTCTCAAGCTGCTTTTGTCTATCAGTCAGACAGGGACTGAGAAAAAAGTGCAACTTTCTTTGGAAACCTCATTCTTAAACAAAAAAAAAAAACCCCAAACCAAAAACCCTGTAACTCCTTTACCTTCAGAGAGAAAAGAGACTAAAAATAAAAAATTATTGAAAAGGGCTGTAGCTGATTAAAGCAGGCAGATTATCCTCCTAGAGCCTGTCTGCTGTGAGTACAGGAAGGATGCTTTGTATATTGCTGGACACCACACTGTGGAAATCTAAAAGGAATCAAGGCAGAGGAACAGATGTAACTGGGCTAAATAGGGAAAGAAATAGAGGGTAAGGTAAACAGATTTAACTTTAGACAAAGGTAGTTATCTGTTAAGTAGATTTAATAAGATACAGTATGAAGAAATAGTTATTATAATGGTCTGTTGACAAATTAAATAAAAAATAATAACAAGCAAAAGGTGTAAGGATGCATAAATAGGAATTTTAATTTAAGCAAATAAAAAATGGAAATTGAGTATTACATAAAGTTTCCAATTGGTGTGATTCCTTCAGACCAACATCTAGACTTTTTAGCAAAGATCAGGAATTTATTGCCCAGTATTATTCAAAGCTAGATTTAGAAATCCTTGAAGAGTAAGAGGTCCATACCATCTGTTCACTTATGAGAAAGTATCTGTTTCAATGATATGCCCAAGTTCTCTATTTTCATGTAACCTGCTTCCTGTGCTGGGCCTGTGGAAAATCATAGAATCACAGAATAGGTAACTGACCACAGTGGGTCATTTGGTCCAACCTTCCTGCTCAAGCAAGTTCATCCTAGAGCACATGACACAGAATTACATCCAGGTGGTTCTTGAGTATCTCCAGTGAGATAGACTCCTCAGCCTTGTTGGACAACTTAGTGCATGGTCACTCCCACAGTAACGAAGTTCTTCCTTGTATCCATGTGGAAATTCCCATGCATCTGTTTCTGCCTATTGCTTCTTGTCCTATCGCTTGGCACCATCAAAAAGAGCCTGGCTTCATCTTCTGACACCCTCCCTTCAGATACTGATAGACATTGAGGAGGTTCCCTCTCAGTTGTCTCTTCTCAAGGTGAGCAGGCCCAAGTCACTCAGCCTGTGCTTGTAAGAGATATTCTGCAGACCCTTAATAACCTTTGTAACCCTCCACTGGACCTGCTCCAGGAGCTCCATGTCTCTCTTGTCCTGAGGATCTCAGAACTGGACACAGTGCTCCTCATGTGGCCTCACCAGGGCTGGGTAGAGGGCAGGACCTGCTGGCAATGCTCTTCCCCAGGATACCATTGGCCTTCTTGGCCACAAGGGCGCTGCTGGCTCAGGGACAGCTTGTTGTCCATCAGGACCCCCAGGTCCTTCTCCACAGAGCTGCTTTCTAGGAGATCAGCCCTCAGCTTGTGCTGGTGCATGGGGTTGTTCTTTCCCAGGTGCAGGACCCTACACTTGCCTTTGTTAAATTTCAGTTGGTTCCTCTCTGCCCATCTCTTCAACCTGTTGAGGTCTTTCTGAATGGCAGCCCAGGTGGCCAAGAAGGCCAATGGCATCCTGGCCTGTATCAGCAGTAGTGTGGCCAGCAGGACCGGGGCAGTGATTGTCCCCTTGTGCTCTACATTTACCTGAAAAGAGGTTGTAGAGAGATGTGGGTCAGTCTCTCCTTCAGGATACATGGTTAGAGAAAATGGCCTCCAGTTGCACCAGGAAAAGTTTTGATCAGATTTTAGGAAAAATTTCTTCCTTGAAAGTGTGGTCAAGCATTGGAATGCCTCCCCCCACACCCCTTCTCCCCCAGGGCAGTGATGGAATCACCATCCTTGGAAGTGTTCAAAAAACATGTAGATGTGGTGCTTAGGGGTGTGGTTCAATGGTGGACTTGGCAGTGTTGGTTAATGGTTGGACCGTGCTGATTCTGTGATTCTAAGTTGTGGCTGTCATCTGAAACAAGGTTAATTATTTGGATAACAGCCTAATAAAGGCTAATGTGTTTGTGGCAAAAGAACTTATGCTCTGTACCTCAGTCTCGCTGCCACTGCCCTTGAGATCCCCTCCCTGACTACTGCTTGGCTCTATATCCACCTCTGGCTCTTTCTTCCATACTTTGCATTCTTCTGTATATAGAAGTACTGCAAAATTGCTGCTGTTCAGCTAGTCTTCTTCTTAACTCCAGTCCACAGCCTTTTGGACTGTGAACATGCAATCATGTAGGGCTTTTTGACATCAGGATGTTTCCATTCCCTTGGGATCCCTAAGCTTCCCTAAGAGTCACCTCTTTTAGACTCCTTCTGCTGAGCCACAGAGTTCCTTCTTGACCAGTCTTTCACAAAGCTGCTCTCTAAAACATGAATCATTTGATTGGTTTTCTTGTGTTTTTTGGATCTTTGTTCTATGCTTCCTATAATACAGTGACCAGATTTGTACACATTATTCCAAAAGAGACCATCCAGCTGCCTTACTGAATGCCAAAGTAATAACGTCTGTGGTTTATACTCTGTAGCCTTCCATACACAACCCAAAAACCTTGTTTGCCTTTGTTACTGCTGCCAGATGTTCTGTGGATGATTTTCAAGTGTATTGTGGGGAATGTCACTATGCCAGTGAATTTCAGCAAATTTAAGCAACTTTGAAATTATTCCTTTTTCCACATGGTTATATTCAAGTCAAACCAAACTATGTTCTCACTTGAAACTGCCCTGTTTTGGTTACCCCCTTTTCACACTGAATCACTCACTACCTGTTACCAGTTTCTCTGCAGGAGCCTCTACAATAGGATTTCCCCTTCATCAGGCCTCTTTCAGATGGTGCTGGAAACTCCATCTAAAGAGCCCAGCTCTGAAAGTCTAGGGAACAGTTATATTGTCTTTAATACTCAGACTAATGAATTGGGAGTAAAGGGAATAAGAGACTTTTCTCCTAGAGAGGAAGCAAGGGGAGGGAACAGTCTATAAAAGAATTACAATGTTCTCACCTCTCTTTTCCTGCAGATTTGCTGACAGCACAGGAATACCACTGCCTGCTGCAGTTGCTCTGCCCTGACTTCCCAATGGAACTCACTCAGAAAGCAGCAAGGTGGGTCCTTATTCTCTCTTTAAAGGCAAGATTAGTCCTACATGCTTGGTCTTAGGAACTAGACCTGTGGGTAAAGGTAGGAACAGAGACTTTAAGGTTTTGGGGAGAAGAGTCACCATCTTCTGAGGTTAAGAACAGGGTGTTTCTCTAGCAATGTGAAAGAGTATATATTTAAGATATACAAAGACTGAAATATCAATGCAGAATGCTGCTGTTTGCTCTATGTTTGGATGAGTTGCAGATAAAAGAATGTTAGCCAATATGTTTTTAACTGACATGTTTTTTAAACTCAATTTCAAATACTGTTTACCATTCTAAAATGTGTTCCCCCTTGACCCAGCTTCTATGGTTGATCACATTTAAACACACCAACCTCTGAAAGATTGCCAGTGTTTTAAAGTATGTTTGGTAAGAACATGGCAGCTAATGTGTTTGAAATTTATTTTAATCTCGACAAGGCAAAAAGCAGATAGTTGGCTCAGGGCATTGATATGGTGATATGGAGTATTTTACTGATTGTGCTTGCTGATTGCAGTCCAGCCCAGGCAGCTGATTATTAACTATCTGATATGGAAAATGTAATAAGGTACACACATCTGTTCAGTTGCTTGTCCCCCAGTGCCAGACTAAGAAAGAACACTAGCCCTGTAGCAGAGATATATCTGCCACTTCCTTTCATGGAGGTACACAAGCAGCGGTCCCATGTGCTGGTGTGTATTTCACAGGGCTCCAGCTGAACTGAGCAGGAATTTGTGATGGTGCATGCAATGAAGGAGACTTCAGCATATCTACACATGTTGTGATGTTTGTGTCAAGGAATTTAGTCCACAAGGCTGCTGTAAACTAGAGGCCCCATTCAGGGGCCTGCTGCACTGTTGTGCATGTGTTGTAGAGACAGACAAGCTGGCTTTGGGAGCAGGTGTTGGAGAGATATGAGATCTTTGTCAGAGGCTCAGGTGGGGGTGACCTCACTCCTACTTTTGGCTGGCTAGAGATTTACTTGCACATTGCTAGCTCTGTAACAAGCTAATCTAATTGAACAATTTTAATAAAACTTGTCATATTTCTAAACCATTTATCTCTTTGCTTACAACTGTTGCTCATTTTCTTGTCCTTTTTCTGGTCTACACTTCCCATTGTCCTCCTTGCTTTCTGCCTGTTAGAAGGGTGAGCTCTTCAAACTTTCTTACAGCACCAGTTGACCTAGTCTTTGCAAAACATGAGTGTCACATGCAAACCTAGAAACATTGTTCCTTTTTCAGTCTGCACACCCCCAACGGTTTTGTTGCTATTTTTTTCAGAAAATAATTAAATGAAGTAGCAGCAGGAGTAGCCATTACATTCAGTGTTACAGCCAGGACCTGCATTGGTACTGCAGGGAACAGGGCAGTCAGAGCTGTAGCCTCTGTGCTGCATGACTGAGATGATCTCACAGCACGGTGCAGTCCACACATGCAGGAGCTGTTGCTATGCTCTGATAACAAACAATAGGACTAGGATCAGGATATGTCAGAAGATTAGAATGGAGGCTACAACAATATAGGTTTTATTCATGTGACATCAGAAAGCTCTATTTTCATGTTCCTGCTGCAGAAGTCATACCCAAAAAATGAACTAGGATATCTGTGTCTTTGAGATGTCTTGGATTTTTTTTTCAAATGGTTATGGCCATTAGCAGATTAAAGACTTTAATCTACAGAGATACTTTTGATCTTCAGAGACACGTTTTGGCTTTCTGAGTCTTGAAATTGCAGGACAGAAAATGAAGGAATTTTTTTCTAGTTTGATGCCATGATTTTAAGATCTCTACCTGAACACTGATTTTTCTATTGTAAAAGAAACACAAGGAACTTGCTGGCCACATTTGAGTTGTGACAGACCAGTAGTTCACAGCTTCTATGCTGTTTTATTTGGTATGTGAGCTCATGTTGCACTGATCAGTACTAATGGAACTAGGGCTTGCAATTCAGTACTCGTGTTAAAAGATTGCCTAGGACTGCAGATTGTTTTGTATGTTTTGCTTATTTTTGCTTCCATGGCTCAGAAAATAAACCAAGTCTCTGAAAACTCGTTTGAGCCAGCCTAGCTTTAAGACAGGTTGTGTCTTTAATGACAGCAGAAAATGGTAAAAGTCTTTGCAACTAGCCTGGTCTAGAGTTTGTCCTGGGAACATCCTGTATAGTGTGGATTTCTGAGATTTTAACCACAATCAGGAGACCATAAAGTTTCCCCATTGGCACAATAGTAAGGCTTTCCTGCCAACCAAACCCACTTGAACCCTGAAAAACCACCATACCCTCTACCAGAATGCCTCAAGTGTAGGCATTTTTCTTCAGTCCTTTCCAAAGTTCCTCCTTGATTTTCATTATTCACTGAGCGCCAGCTACTAACTTTTTAAATACATCTGTGGTTTCAGGATTTAAATCTAATTTTGACAAGAAAAAAAAAAAGCCTTGAAAAATATGAGATACCTGATGAACTCTTTTGAGTTTCAGTTCATACTTTCAAATTTTGTCCTCAATTTTGGTCCTGCTGTCTAGGTTACAGTCCATAGCTAGTTTTTCTTCTTGCCAGATATTTCAAGGAAGAGGTGCAGATATGTTGCATATGATGCTCTCTCAGCTTCCTTGAGTGCTCAGTCAGCTGGCTATGTGCGGGAATTGCCAGCTGCAGTCAATCTCCTCAAAAATGATTGTATTGGATTTAAAGACTTCTCAACATTTCCGGCGTGCAAACCCCTGGGCCAAGCAGAGTCAGTAACCCAGCACCAGAGTGCACCTGCTTCTATTTAGATGCTCCTCCATCACATATGTGCTGTACTGGCTTCCTCAGAGGCTCCTTGCTGTCTTTAACAGCAAAAACTGTCCAGCAAATTCTCATACTTCTGCATATTTTCTCATGCTCTCCTCTAAGTAAGAGGCTGGAACTTGGTGCTGCATAGCACTGCCATTGACTAGAGTTTTAGATTTAACAAGTGAAATGAATTTCTTGTTAGGAAGGTGATGTAATATTGTCTCTCTGCATAACAAATATGTAAAACCACTCCCCACTGTTGTTTTCCTGTGTCTTTGAGAAGAAAGCTTTGGTGCTTTGAAGGTATCAGGGAGACAGACCATCATTTCAAAGGAGGGAGTGCAGCTCACAGTGATGTGGCCAATTGCATTTCCAGTGCTTAAACAGTGGTTGGAAATGCCAGTGGCTGAGCAGTTTTGCCTGAGAGATGAAGATGCTCTGCCTGCCAGCTTCAAAGCCATTTCCTTGATGTGGCCACTGACAATCTCAGTAACATGCTTATTAGTGAGAATTAAGAACTGAAGCTACTGCTTCTTTAGACAGGAGGAGAGGAGGCTTCTGGAATGTAATAAATAAATCAGAAGCACTTTGACATCTTCAAAGGGTTTTGTTTTAAATACTGGCTTTTCTCCTGGGGACCCTTTAGCCCCAGTCTTTCTTCTTTGAGATAATTAATTCAAGCTGCTCTACATGTTTGATTTTGCCACAGTGAACAGAACTGGTCTGAGTGGCAGGGAAGTCTTGCAAGATCCTATGTTCTTCTAGGTCAGCCTCCCACACAGCACCCTGAAGTCTTTTGCATGAGACAGAACAGTGTTTCTCCAGCAATGTGTTCAGACAATTGATGCTGCAGGAGTTGGTGTGCAGATTGTATCTGGCCCTGTGTTGAAAAGGGTCCTATTGGATGACCCATACTTTGGCTGTAATGAGCTGACAATCCCCATATGGCGCAGTATGCCAGATGCTGACTATACAGGTTCAGTAGACCTAGATGCAGTTGAAAATAAATACCAATTGCCTTTCTTTAGCATTGCCTTAATACTCTGGGTTTTTTTCCCATCAAATTGGAGTATTTTCTTCTGTTTTACAATCTAAGCTGTCATTGATTAGATGAGTTTGATTTTCCCCACTTCAGAGACTGACCTTTTTATCCTTAAGTAGTGGTGGCAGTGACCAGAGTATTGTTTTTGTTTTCATTTTTGCCCTGAAATCCACATATGTTTTCCCTGAAAGGAAGAGCTGGACTTTGCTATCACTTATATTTCATGTTTATGGCCTGTGGCTGGTATTTTCCATATTCAAGAAATATGCTTCAAAATAGGGGTGCATGTAGCTTCCTACATGCACCTACAACTTAGCAGGGACAAAGAAGACTGACCCTGGCGCAAGAAGTCTTCAGTTGCGATGAAATTTGACTTGACAGTCAAATAACAGACCTAATATGAAGAGACAGATTCTTTCATCAGGAAGGGAGGATAGGATGTTCACAAAGTGCAGTTACGAAGTTGAATGTTGGTGCAGTGTTATTTCCTCTGCAATCAAGTAGAGTTTTTTTGAGTAGAGATAGTGATTTACAACTGTTGTGACCTTTATGAATCTGAAATATGTCCCAGTTTGATGAAGTCTAATTTGCAGAGGAATAGCATGAGTGTCATTCTGTTTACACTAGTTTCTAGTTGTGTAACTGTTCTGTCTGTAGTCATATTTAGTCAGAAGCTGGACTTTGATGATCCTTGTTGATCCCTTCCAACTCAGGATATTCTACAATTCTGTATAACCATATGAACCAGCCTCACAATTTTTGTACCAGTGTTTGTTCCATCATGTCCACCAGGCTTTGGATGCTGCACTGCCCTGTTCACACTGTAGCTGAAGTGTGTGACTGACATTCAGGATCTTCTCTTTGCTTCAGGTTCTTAAGCTGCCTTCAATTGATATTAGGGCGTCCACATCCTTGCAGCATTGGGTGTTCCCATTTCTCTCTCCTAACTTCTTATACTGGGCCACTAGCATTTCTCAGTTGCCCATAGTTCCTTGGCTGCACTTTCTTGAGGTCTGGGGTTCCTGGTTACAGACTTTAGTTTTTTTGTAAATGCTAAACTGTTTCTCTCATCTTATCATAGGATTGTGCTGATGGATGATGCAATGGATTGCCTGATGTCTTTTTCTGATTTCCTCTTTGCTTTCCAGATCCAATTCTACTACTCAGGTAAATTCCGGGAAGCTGTTGACTTCTCCCACTTGTAGCATTACAACTTTACAGCTTCCCAATCTTTGCACTTTTTGAAACTTGAAAGGATATGGTTTTTTTCACAGAAAATATATAGCTAATGGACTCTACTGATGAAAAGTATCACAGATGTCAAGAAATTAGGAGATTTAATGAGGACATTCCAAATTGGTGTGAATAATGACACACCCGCAACTGCTGTCTGATGAATTTATTTGTCTTGGCCTTGTCTTGGCCTTGATACATGAATTTTCAGCTTTATCTAGACAATGTTAACAGCTAACAATTAGCTTTTACTAGGAATATTTTTTCCCTTTCTTTAAGGAAACTATTCAATCCTGCTGGATACAGCATAGGAAAAGTCCACCAGCTGGTGCCTTTAAAGGAAAAGCAGCTGGACAAATTGATATAATTCTTCCCCTTAATATTTGCTCAACTATGAGCTGGTTTCAGCTCAGAGAGTTTCTGAACTGGGTATGATTCCCATGGGTTTAGGAACCCTCAGTGGACTCCACTCCCAAGAACTTCTCTAGCCTCCCCTTGAAATCACATACATGTAACCTCCATACCTTTTGGCAAAGAATTGCACAGGTTTGGCACCTGACCTGTGAACAACCACCTCTTTTATTTGATTTGAGACCCCCTAGTTGGAAAGCAAAAGGAACAGATAATTCATATGAACAGTCTTCATATTGTTGGTCATTTATTGTATGCTATCCCACTTCCTCAGTCTGAGTTCTAACTAGATGAAATATTCCTAAAATTTTTGGCAGGAAAAGTACAGATCAAATAATATTGGTTTGTGTGTGTGTATTTCCTCATTCTTACCAACACATATACATCTGTAAAATCCCCAGGTATTTTTAAACTTCAGGAGACAAGGTGGAGAAATTTGGATGAGCATTCAGGTGCTTGTTCTCTATGGGGAGAATGCTTCAAAATACATTGTCCTGTCACCCTAGCCCCTCTAAATTGTGACTGAGGAATGAGAATCTCATTCAGGACAGAAAGAGGGTGAATAGATATTAGATATGCTCCCAAGCACAGGCTAGTTTGCCACTTTCTCATCTCCTGGCACACAGCACCTTCTAACATAATGGATTTCTGTCCACTCACACTGAAATGGCTCCCTCTGATGGATGTAGCTCACAATTGGCCTCGCCAGGCAAAACGGGCCATGTTTGGATACACAGAAACACTGGCTAGAAGCTGTTGTGAGCATAGTCTGTGGTCAGAGAGTAAACTTGGGTGGCCTTCTGATCTGATCCAGCCTGTGAGTTCCCATCTTTTCTAGCAGTTAGGAGTCTGCTGCTATTCCTAATACAAAAATCTCTTTTTCTCAACACTTCTCTGTATATACTTCCCTTGTGTCTCTGCTGTACATATCACAACTTTATCCATGACACCTTATTGTAAAAAAACCAGTTCAAAATGGTGATTTTGAATTGGGCAGAACCAGGCTTGTAATGCCTTTAGTCAGGGACAGAAAATGTGTTTGGAAAGTTTTCTTGGATATAACAAATATTTCCATGGAGCTACAGGACCTCAGCACAGCCTCAGGGCCTGCTGACATCCTGACTTTCCTCTCCACCCACCACATGCACAGCATTGCACTTCCATTCACTTGGAACTTAAATGCCACTGGAGTCCTGGCAAGCTCATTCTTGTGTACACACTCTGAGAGATCCCATCCCTGTCCTGCTCACCCAGGCACAGTGCACACACGCAGCCTGTCATACACTCTCCCACCAACCCACACACATGCAAACCACTCCAAATGGAATCTAGATTTGTAAACTGCTGACCACATCCATAAACAAACTTGTTTAAAATTAGACTCCTGCAGTAAACAGTGGGTAGTATGAGGAGCCTGGGGAGAGGCTTTCTGCCAACTCTAGCCCTGACCTGCCCTGGCCCTTCTTCTAGATCCTGTGTTATATTTACTTTGGAGCAGCATGGAGGCAAGCTGATATACAGCCTGGAGCCCTAATTAACATGCTCCCTTTTCTCCTGTTGCAGTTCAATGTAGTTTGCTCCCAACTTGGATGAGTTCTAAATCAGTGGCAAGAGGTGGAGAAGGAAAACATTTTAGACTTCACAAACTAGTTTTGTGTTTTATATTAGTTTTCACGCTTCACTGTTTTATTAGTGTGCTAGCTAGCCTTTGCTCCCTTGTGATGAATCTTCTCAACAGAGTGAGTGACATCTCATAATCATCCTAATAAGAAGAAGATAGCAACTTCTATGGAAATGGCTTTATGGGCATACATAGTATCTGTTCTGAACATGTAGGATGCTGAGTTGTGCTTATTTCCAGTTAGTGCTATGTACAACACAGAACAACACTTTAAGCCACAGTCTGGTAAGTCAAGAAGACGCTTTGCTGCTTACAGTGCTGAGTTTTAAACGGCTTTCTGTTCTTTTAGAGTTCCTGGAAAGTGTGGCTGCCATTTATCAAGATCTGCTGGCTGGTAAGAATCCAAATACTGTGATTGTGCCAACATCATCCTCTGGGCAACACCGGCAGCGCCAGGCCCCAAATGACTGCAACCCACTTGAAGGAGTTGAGGCATCTCTCTTCTACCAGTGCCTGGAGTCCTTGTGTGACAGATCAAAATACAGGTATGAATGGAGTCTAAAATACAAATTTGAAGTCTCTGTCTCTGGAGACTCTTTGTAAGGAGCTGTGAAGGAAGATGGGCCTTTGAACAAGCTGATATTCCCACATGACTCTCACTGAAGAAGTATGAAGGGAAATATCACAGCTGAACAGCTTTAACTGAATGAGAGAAACAATTTCATGGACCAAAGAAACGTGGGGTTTGAACTGATTCTTCAAGTAATAGATGGATTTGGGTCTCTGCTCTCCATCTCACTTCTGCATTGACACTTTCATCAAGGAGAGATCCATCATGAGTTTGCTAGAGGGGATAAACAAGTGCAGTTGCATACTTGGGAGTTGAAAGAGCCCACTGGGTGTATGGAGTATGAAGCCTTAGTACCTAGGTGAGTTCACACTGTCATTTGTACCTGAGCCTATGTTGGAGCTGGTTTCCAGCTAGAGATCCAGGCACAAAACTAGCTAGCTCAGCAGAGGATGGAGCAACACCAGACTTTACTGTACAGCTTTGACAGACACTTTGATCATATTCTCACTATCTGCAAGAAACTTTGCCCTCCTAGAAGGTCATGGTCTAGAAACACAAAATAACTCAGGACAATAACTCATAATAAATTCCACCTGATTTCTACTTTGGGTTTCAAAATCCAGATTTGTGATCCACAAAATTTTTGCTGAGCTGCTGTCCAGTGCTATAGATATCTAAGCATGAAGTTGATGGGTTGTTTTGTTTTTTTAAACAACAAAAGCTCTACATCCCCTGTATGTCCTGAGAACTTCAGGTGGGAAGAGTTCTGTGGGACCATCTGGTAGGTCAGGCTTTGCACAGCACTATTAGGGGAGCCATTCCCAACCTTTCATGCAGTAGCTCAATACTCAGGCTTTGATAACCACTTCTGCCTGAGGGATTACTAGACAACCCCCACATCTCCCAGGGGTACCACTACACCACTGACTGTTCAACACTTGCTCTTGATAAGGCAGTTTGATTTTGCATTAAATCCTTCAAGGAGTATTGGTCAAGAGCAAGCATCACCATGAAGATACTACTTAGAACTCAGGACTACCAGTTAAGAAGAGTGTAGAAGAAGGGGATATGCTAATTTAGTCCTCACCTAAATAGTGTTCTCTGACACATTTGGGCTATCATTGGAGAGGGTTTCTTGCTCCTTGGATGACTATCACTGATAATAATGTGATAACAACATCACTGAAAGTGTTCAAAAATGTGTAGGTGTGGCAGTTAGGAACATGGTTTAGTGGTGAACACAGCGATGCTTCATTAACCACTGGACTCAGTGGTCTTAGTTTTCCAAACTTAACACTTCTATGAAATTTTATTGACTTCTGAAAACAAGTATTTCCCAGAGGATTTTTCCCAGAGGAAAAAACATGCTAAGAGTTGGGATGTGTATGCCTCTGAATGAATCGAGGCTTTTCTCACTGTCCTTGGAATGGAGACAGGTAAGACTGCTCCTAGGGATGTCCCTCAGCTCAAAGATCTTGCTTAGCAAATGGAGAGCAGATCCAGTGCTCAGTAAGCAAGTGGGTGGCTCTTCATTTTAAACTGAGTCAGGACAACCTCACAGTGTTAGAACAGGTGAAAGGGTTTATTTCTTAAGCTGAGTCTTAGGAAAAAAAAAATATTTTAATTTAGAAGAGAAGATGATCTCTGTTTCTCTTTTCCTAGCTGTCCGCCTTCTGCTCTTGTGAAGGAAATGCTGAGCAGTGTGCAGAGAATGACCTTCTATGGATTCCTTATGGCTCTTGCAAAGGATCAGGGCATCAATCGAGCCCTAGGTAAGACTTCTCTAAATGACACAGCTCTAGATTTTCAGTTATTCTGTATTTTTGTATTTCTGTGGAATTTTGTTTGTAATTACAACCCACATTTTACACTGTCAGGAAGAGAGTGAGGTGAAGTTTTTAGTCTTTTTGTTGATGGATTAACTTTCAAAATAACACTGTGCCTTACTGTCTGCCTGAAGCTGTGGAGCTTCCTCAAGGCTTACTGAGTTGAGGTGCCATCCTATGTTTTAGCCCTTTGTGCTCGTGCAGATTTTAAATGGCTGCTCTTATCTGTAAGGAAAGAAGGCACACCTAATGGAAAACCTCTGTGTCTCCTTGGCTGAAAGGTTAAAAGCCCAGTGCTTCCCAGCTCTTCCCCATCTTCCCTCAAGGTGGTGTGATCTTGCTAGTAGCTGTCTGTGGCCTAGTGAATATCCAATCATAAAACATAAACTGCTATAAAAATCTGTACCATGCTGCTGTGGGAACCACAGGGATTAGCAACCAGCATCTCACTGCTTGTGTCTATGTTGTGCTGGTTTGGAGCAGGGAAGCAGTGTTACATTGGCTAAGGACAGTATGTAATCTATCCATAATTCACCCATAGTTTCATATTTCCCCCATATGCCTTGCTTGTGCTCTTCCTCCTCCTACAAAGAGGAACAGAAATGGCTTTTCTGTTTGACAAGATGGTGTCCAGGAGATAAATTTAAATGGCAGGAGCAGGGAGGGAGGGCTGTGGGTGTTCCCAAACACTCATCCTCGTCTTCATTCAGCAAATCACCCAGCCATTAAGGGTAGATGACTGTCTCTGTCTTTGGGTAAGTGTCCTCCTTCCTCTTCTTCTGGGGCCTGAGTATCTGCCAGTCCCTAATTGCAAAGACAAAACTCAATGAAAAGTTGTACCTTGCCTGAGGGCTGCTTCTTTTGCACAGGTGTGTGTCATAGTACAGTAAAAGTGTGTCTTCCTTGGCTGAGCCCCTTCTTACAGCAAACCATTTAAGCCGCAAATGTTCCTCTGGGGCAGGGCAGATTATGTATCAAAGGTGCACGAATACACCCCTGCAATCCCCTCTGAAAACAGGCTTAGAAAGCAGTGTATTCACTGGGAGGAAGGTGATGCCTGGATGGCAGCAAGCAAAATCTTTTTTTTCTTTTGCCCTATGAAATCTACTTCTAGTCAAGCATAAAGAAAACAGATGAAAAGAAAAAAAAATCCTGCCCACAGCCTCCATTGTGCCATCTACAAAGTGAGTAGGTTTTCATTTCCATTAATGTAGGTCTGTCCTCTGGCCCTCTGCCAGCCTCCTGCTGAGGCCTCTCTCAGAGGAGGGGCAGCAACCACAAGTCTGACAGGTGCTAGCATTTTTGGCAAGGAAAGGAGGATTCTTTTCCTGGTGTCTTTTAATCTCTCCTGAAGGGTGATTTCAATAGTCTTTGGTCTGTAGGGGATGACAAGCTCCCCCAAACCCTTCAGCGAGAGCAGTTTCAGGCAAAGGAGATTTTGGTCTCACAAAGCCAGAAGCTCCTCTTGAGGGATGGGGATAGAATTAAAGCAGCTTGTTCAGGCTGGGACAGTGCCATTGAGTGTGCCAGGCAGACTGGAATCTGCAGTGTATCTCCAATGTCAACGTTGATTTGTGAATTCTTCAAGTGCCATTTATCAACTCTCCCAAGTAAATCTGGTGCCCTAAAGATTTCACTGTGGACTCTGCAACTACAGAAATAAGTTAAGCTTTAGTTGTTTATTCTTTTAATTGAGTACACAAAAAGAAGCAGACTGGGACACTTCTGTGAATCTCCTGACACTGTTTTGCAGTGTCAGACTTCCCTGCTCATTTACAGGAGTAGACCACAACCCAAATAAATGGGGGAATTTGTTCTGGTCTAAACTTACTCTAGTTTTCAGGAACTCATTGCTACATTTTTGATGACTGCTGCCAGCCTCTCCTGCAAGAGGCAGGGACACGGCTCTCCAGCCTCTCCTGCTAGAGGAAGGTTACAGAGCCAGCAAACATAGTTGCGTTCCCACAAGGAATTCAAAGCCCCTTCCCAAAGGTATTGAGTGTAGCATCCAGGTCTCCTGAAAAACCTTAGAAAGAGAACCTTAGAACCTCACTGTCCTGTTAGTATAGATTACCAAATAGGTATTTTGTCCTGGTGTGCAGTGGTACTCTCTACCAGGCTCTGGTAGGCAGTCTCTGTGCTGTTCTCTGTTATTTCTGTGCTGGCTGATCACACTCTCCCATGACCCTATACCAGGTGGAGTTTGTTAAAGAATTAGGAAGGAGGGCTTTCCTAAGAGCCCCATCTTCCTTTCTGGCTCTGTTAATGTCCCAGTGTTTTCTGAGAAGATCAAGGATTATCAATCAGCTGTTCCAGTCCTGAACTATATCATGTCCTTCATCTGGAGTAGGGTTTCTAAAGTGAAAAGGAGCATGTTGATCGTACACTGAGAGGGTACCCAAGCACTGGCCCAGACTTTCATGCTCACATTCGGGCAGCAAGCAATGCTAGAGCACAGTTCATCCACATTTAACTCCTGTAGGCAATGTGCAAAAGTCAGGCCTGACTTTCCTGAGCTGCAAGGAAAGCAAAAGCCTTAAATCTGTGGAGTGTTTTGATCCCCAAGATCAGTACACCACAAGCAAGGCAGGTGGCACAAAAATATAAATAACCCTGGGTAGTACAGTGTATGTTTCAGGCTGTGGCACTGACACCACCACATCTATTGCATCTGGTACTGGTGACTATACTGGGCAATGAACAGAGGCCCAAAGTTGACAGACTGCCATCTCCCTGACAGTCAGTTCTCTAATTTTGTACAGTGAATGAAAACTGCCAATCCTCAGGGCTGTAGGAAGTGGAGCTACTGAAGCTGCCTCCAATTTAGTCTGAGCTCAGCTACAGCATGTATGAAAGACACAGAAAATAGATCATCATTCTTTGTGTGTCTATGATCCTCAACATTGTGTCCATCTCTCTAAGAGGTATAAGGAAAAGTGTTTTCTGTCTTGCAGGCCAGATTTTGGATACTGCTATGGCTTGAACACTTTTCTTGAAGAATGAATAGCCTGACTCTGCTAATGCTTTCATTGGTTGTTTTTTTGTTCCCCAGGGGCTCTGCCAGATAAAGGAGACTTGTTTCTGGACCCTGCCATGGATGAGGAAATTGAGAAATTGTAAGTGGAATTGCCTAAACTAGGAGGTAAAGCAACAGATTAAAGGTAGCATGCTAAAGAAGAGTGGAATAAAGTACTGTCCTATTCCTCTGCTTTACTACAAAACAACAGAGGAGCTAAAAGAACAATCTGAACAGTAAGAGCTTTTTTCTTTGTGGTGCCTCAGTGCAGTTAAAATCTTTACAAAAGTCTTCAGAAGCAGAGGGGAAGAGTGTGACTCAGAGGGATCTAGAGAAAGCAGCAATTTCTTACAAACAGGGAAATTTTGTTTGGATGGTGAAAAGCAGGAGTGTTGGAAGGAACGAGATCAGCCCAGAAGACATGTTTAAATAGAAGATTCACATAGTGAGTCTGGGAGGTACAATGTGTTCCCCCTCTAGGCCATGAACATCTTTCCATCCCTATGCTAGTTTCAAGTCTCTCTCCCAGGTTCACTCCAAGAGTGCTGCAGTAGAAGTTTTTGCAACATGCTGCCTAGCATATTTCTTTTCTCTTTCAGGGTAGCACAGGTTTCAGGGCTTTCTGTCTCTGGTCCTGCCAGCTCCAGTGCTCCAGACACAGCAAACATGCCCGTTCGTAACTCACCCAGGATTAACTCACCTTGGAAACCTCTACACCATCGTCGAAAAATGGATGCTGAGAGTGAAGGCTCCAATGAAGAGACAGACTCCTCTGAAAACTGAAGGTTGTGAGGGTGGGGACTATTCCCATCTAGGGCTTCTCCAGAACCCACTGGAGGAACAGCATCTCCTCCCAGAGCATCTGCTCTAACGGTGGGTTCTGTCTATGTCAGCAGTGTGTGTGTGGCTGTGCTAATCCCCAGTGCTGGGTTCACCCATCTTTTCCCAGAAACAACTTGCCTTTTTCTTAGCTCCAAATCCGTGCAGGAATAGCGCCTCTGCAGAAGCTATTTACAGCTACAGAGTTATGCTTCCCTCTGCTGGCGGGCAAGACAAGCCAGCAGCCACCAGCTCTGCCACCGCTTGGAAGCAGCCGGCTTTGCTCTCACCGGGGCGCTCCCTCCCACTTCCAGTTGAGCAAGGCAAGACAAGCCAGCAGCCACCAGCTTGGAAGCAGCCGGCTTTGCTCTCACCGGGGCGCTCCCTCCCACTTCCAGTTGAGCAGGTGCTGAAGCGGCGGGAGCACAGCCCGCTTGCCAGTGATTTGTTGTGTAGCTCAGCTCAGATTTGGCCCAGATAACAGAGTGGTTAAATCGCCAGCAGCAGCTCTGTACTTGTGTTCCACTATTATTCCCAGTAAAGCTGCATCTGCATATGATCAAAGGTAAGGAAATTCCTGAAGTTCCTAAAAAAGGGAAGCTTAGATATTGCCATGCAACCTGTCTCTGCTTTGTGCTTTCTTCTCCATGTGTCCAAGACTTGCCAAAGCAAATACAGCAAATAAGCTAGACTGCAGCAAGTACTGCATGGTGCTGTCTGGCTTCACTGCTGTACTAAGTGCCCTTCTGTGAGGTCTCCCCAACCCTCCAACAGCATATTATGGTCATTTAGAAAAGTGAATGTCAGAAGATTTGGAAAAGAGGGATAGGGTTGTTAAATTCCTTGGCTACAGGTTGTAGGGCTTGCAAGCATATAGAGCACCTACTGGGGCTAGGTGAGCAGAAGCCCTAAGGGAAAAGGAAGCAGTCATCAAATGAGATCAAGCTGGGTTTTTTTGTAAATATTGGTATTGTTGGAGCAGGAGTGTAGCCCTTAAAACTACGAAAATAAGTAGCATCACATTGCATTAATGGCAACGAACTCAGCAACCCGGACACTTTGTCTAGCCCAGCTCCTGCACCCCAGCTTGCATACACTAGTTATTTCAGGGGGAACTTCAGTTTCTCATGCTTCTTTGGGAGCCTCCTTGCTCCTCCTGGTCATAAAGTGTTACAGCACAGGCCACCAGGAGCTGGTAACCCAAATCTTGTAATAGGGTGCCAGCAGGGTTATTTATTTATTGTAAGTTAAATTATTTATTATCTGTGCATTCTCTCCCAGCTTGGTGAGTGGCTGTGACAGTCTGGCAATAAAGCACGCTGTGTCAGGCCTCTGCTGCTTCTGGGTTCTCGGGTCTTCTGGGCTGCCCCAGCCGCTCCTCAGGGGGTGGTACCTGGTGGGCAGGACCAGTGCAGGGCCCGGCATCTTCCAGGAACCCCTCCCCTCGGCCGGGGAAGGTGCCAGCCCCACCCCTGAGTGCCTGGACCGCCACCACCCTGCAGCCGCGGCAGCCACACCACTGCTCCCTGCAGCCCCAGCCTGCTGTGGGTATTGTGACATTGACACAACTGCGTCAGAGCAGAGACGACGGAAGAGCAAGACCCGACCTTTTCCCCCCTCAAGCCCCACCAAAGCAAAACAACAGCACAGAGCAGCTGAGTAGCTGCCGCAGCCCCTCAACTGGACAAGAGAGGTGAAACCCATGCAAGCCTCTTCCCAGTCACAGGCAGAAGGCTCCAGAACAAACAGCCCAGCCTCTCTTTTGCTAAGTGTGCAACTAGCCCTTTCCCACCCTTCTTCTTGCAGGCAGAAGGCTCCAGAACAAACAGCCCCAGCCTCTCTTTTGCTAACAGTGTGCAACTAGCCCTTTCCCACCCTTCTTCTTACTACCTAGTCCTCACCACATTCCAAGGAAGAGAAAAGCACTCTTGTTAAAACCAGAGACTAAGCTGAACAGGACTAAAAGTCCTCACAGCTGCACCTCATGGTTAAGTCAGAGGCTCAGTACTTTAATCTGATCCAAACATGGGCAACAAAATAAACCAGGGATCCAGTGAATTTCTTTACTTCTTTACCTGGGCCATTTTTGCTGATGATGTAGTTAGAAGCTAAAAAAATAATCTTTGATTTGATTTTTTTTCTCCCGCATTCATACATGTTGGTTTAGAAGACAGTAAAAAGGACTAGATCACGGTAAAAGGCAAACCCTGCAAATACAGAGGACTCCACAGCACCATGGATTGGGAGCAGTGATCAGAACAAAAAACAGTCATGTCACATGATGTTCAGAAAAATAGCATTCCCCTTTTCTCTGTTACTTGGTGAGCTAAGGTATGGGCCAAAGAAGGACAGGAGCACTGATGAGGGCAGCCCAGGAGTTCCTGTCATATCTTTTACAGCAATGAGGTTAACCCTGTAAGAAGGTCTGTCTCCACTGGCTAGTAGATAGCAGTGGGTATGAGGGCACACTGAATTTTAATAGAGTGGAATCCAGAGATATTCAGAAAGCATCCTGGGCACAGCCATGTCCTGCCCCCCTCTGCTTACCTTCTCCCCTCCCCACCCAACCCAGACAAATAAGACAATCCTGTGGAGTTTACTCCAGGCAAAGGTGGCATCAGTGCCTCTCGCTGGCTTCCCCTTGCAGTCCCTGGGTCATCAATATGAACCATAACGATCCTAAGGAGGAAAAAGAGAGACACCTTGCTACAACACCTTTGTGCAAAATCCAGAGACACGTAACAAGAAATTGGGGGGGTTGGTATTTTAATGCAGTGTGAAGTTATCCGGAGAGGACACTGTACAAAGGCAGAAGGTAAAATGACCTTGACTTCTAAAAGTCTGCCTGGAATTTGTGGGAGAAGGTGTATCTGACATGACAAGGTGTCCTGTGCAGCAGGAGGGTAAGGCTGGCCAAGTGGAGTTCACTGGCCCCCTGCAATTGCTCAGCTATTGTACTGCAGTCAACACCTACAAAAGACAGGGACTTGCCACATAATTTGGGAATATAGTGATAATTCCAATGGAAGCCAGGTTATGGTGAAAAGCTGTTATGTTCAGGGACTTTCTCAAGTTGCCATAACGTAAACTCACCTGAAGGGAGTTCATCACCCCATTGGCCAGGACAGCCATCTTGCCAGCAACTGATTTCACTCCTTGCTTGAACTGTGCAATGTCAGCTGCAGGCAGGACATTTCCAATAGACACACCACCTAAAAGAACCAGGATGAGTTAGCCCAGAGTCCCTCAGCTCCAGAAAGCACCCTGACCCCCTCCAGTTTAGGTCTTCCAAAGCTGCCCCCTTTCTCAACCCAGTGCTAACAAACCTGAGTGCACATTGTCAGCCTCTCCAAACAGGTCTGCAGAGCTGATGGCACTGCTGCCTGAGAGCTGCTGCAGTCGGGATCTGGCTTCATACTGCAGCAGAAAACAAAACAAAAAAGTTATATAGGAAGGGCACAAAGCACGACCTGAGCAAACAGGAGGAGGTAAAGCCAGAGCTGTACCACTGTAAGCACTGCAGAATGCATCTACCTCAGCATCTGCCTCCCGCCCAAAAAACATATCTGAAGAGATGGCTTTAGCCCCAGCAAACTTCTGCCGAGCTTCATTGGATTCCACCATGGACGGCCTGTTCTCAACCTCCCGCCTACTGGTGGGTCTGAGGAAACAAGAGGAGACGTCTCAGATTAAGCTCACCAACACAGTAAAAAACCAAGACTTCTGTCTCAGACCCCATCTAATCAAAGGAAAGAAGTTATCCTTAAGTGTTAGTTGAATTGGGGCTCTCCTCCCCCCATCTCAGGACAGTCAGCACACAATGACCACAAAGGCTGTATAAACTTAGAGACAAGAAAGGCAAAGAAGTGTCCAAGGCCCTTTCACTCAAGGCCCTTTTGCCTGGGCTCGTCTGTGCCTGTGCAAGTCATTTTCTGCAGCACAAGGCTCCTGCTACAGCAGCATCTATGCCACAGCTCCCACACTTACCCTCTGTCCCCTACACAAGGGCACAAGGTACACCAGCAGTGGCAAACACTTTACCTCTCTGAAACCGGCCGAATGCTGGAAACAGTCACCTCTGGTTCCTCCTCTTTGTCCATACCCCATGAAGAGTCCGTTTCCCATCGTGAGCCAAATGCATCTTCGAATGAGAAGGGACTGTATTTGTACCTAGGTACCAAAAGTAGGTAATTTACACCAGACATAAAATGCAGGAATAAGCAAAAACTACACTTAAGCTAAGTCTTACTTGGGGGGTCCAGATGTGAAGCTTCCACCATCTTCCAACAAGTCCAATTGGGAGCGGGAAGATTTTGCTACCAGCGGTGTCTCTTGCTCAATAACTTGCATCTCAGACATCACCGAGTGTGAAACAGAACTAGCACAACAAACAGGCAGAGTCAGGGCTAATGGGTCTGACAGCATCCAGTCCCTACAACCAGTCTGCCTCAAAACTGAGTCTGGCCTTCACAGGCAGGGCAGGTGACACAAGTTTTGAGGGAGAGTTGGGGGATGTCAGCCCCCTTCATCACTTATCTATGCTCCTTCAGAAGTCTTGAGCTACCTTCTTAAAAGAAGCATTCTGCAGGGGGACATGTATCAAGCAGCTGGGCTCTAGTGCTAGACACTGACAGGCCACACGTATCTGTGGAACAGCTCAAATGAGAACTAGAACCTTTAAACTGAGTCCCTATTCCTTCTGGGGCCCAAAGCATTTTCAGTCAGAGAACAGCATCTGAGCACTTTAACTCATCTCCTTACCTAATACAAGAGCAAACTACTGCCTTCAAGAAACTTCTCCAGAGGGTGCTTCCAAGACACTGTCTATACTATGCCATCTACAGCCAAGTACCTTCTGGACACCAATCCCATGCCCAGCCTCTCTGCTTGTTCTCGTTTCTTCCCTTCAAGGTTCTGGAGTTTCTTCTCTTCCTTCTTCCGATCAAGCTGCAGTTCCTGATAAGCCAGTCGCATTGAGGTGACTCTGAGGGAAAGAGCCATGGTGGGTGCCAGCACATTACCCTCCCTCGCTGCCCATGTTGTAGAAGAACAAGTGATTAAGTAACCCCAACCACCCTTCAAAACAGCCACTTTCACAACTCTGCCAAAAATCCTTGCACAAAAGCCATTGCTTGTTTTGCCATCTCCTCCACTGGGATTCAATTCTTCTTTGGCTAACCATGATTTCTTTACTGTAAGCATCACAATGTCTATCTTCTCGCCATCCCTGCAGCCAGAATCATCCATCCAGTTCAGCTTTTGGCTTTTCTAGTCATGTCCAAAGGTGAATGGAAAAATGCAATACAGAAGTATCTGCTCCCTACATTCTTCCAGGAATGCTAACTTGAATAAAATACAGCAGTATAACTTGTGCCCTACTGCAAGGGCCATAGTGGCATATAGCTACTGCTCTTCCTCTCATGCAGTATGTTCTGTAGTCACATTTGCTGGTCCTAGGGTGAACAGCATTAACCTCACACTACTTCTGCCTTAGGTGTGCAAGGTACTCATCCCAAACAGGGCACTTACATGGACTCCTCAGCTTGTTTCCTGGACTCCACTGCCTGCTGCTCCCTCAGCTGTTCTGCCACCTGGGCTTGCCGCTCAATCTCACTGAAGCTCTGGCTGCTGACCTTCTGGGCTCCAAGACCTTTTTTTGCACCCAGCTTAAAAACAAGAACAAAATCCTGTGAATTCTTTATCCTAGATTGTTCATTGTAGAAGAAAACCTGAATCCTACTTCTTGCTGCACCAATGAGGCCTTCAGTCTCCCTATGTAGTCACAACCTACAGACCCAAAAGAGTTTGCAACACAGTAAGGAAGAACATCCAAGAGTTAATCCATCGGTGGCCAACACTTAGAGATCAACCACATATGTTTCAGACCACAACCAGTAATGATAACTTTTTTTGCAATAATATACAGGCTGCTTAAGGTCTCCTTTCCCCAAAGCAGATCTCTACAGCTTTGTTAAGCAGAAAGCAAGAATCAGGGAAAGGACAGCAGAAATACAAGACCTCCCCTCCATAAAAGAGCTCAGACATACCCCTTTCTTGGCAGCTCCTGGCTTCTTCTTTCCAATGAGGGAGGATTTAAGTTCTGCAAAAGGAGGGAAGCAGCAAATAAGCAGAAGGGAATTAATTTAATAGGCCAAAATTAGACAGCAACCCACATGAACATCCACCACAGTCCAGCTGCAGTAGCGTCCAGGGCACACCATGCATCTTCACATCAAAAGCCTGGGCGGGTAATTTCACCCAGGCAAGAAAGATGCACATAGAAGCTCCACAGTTGAAGAATGGTAGCCTAAAGAAGCATGTCCATTTCTGGAGCAACTTATAATTGAATTAAGAACTGTGAATAACTTGTCTGAGTGTTATGCAGCAAGTATCAGGGTAGTTAGAGAAAGACGAGGTTTATCCCATACACAAATTCAAGAAAATGCAGCTTCAGAGGCATGTGAAGGTCAGAGCCTCATCAATGCCTTAGGGACAAAGCAGCAAGAACTCTGAAGTTGTGTTTACATGAAAGTACAAAAACAAATGGACCTAAAGTGCAGCAAGCTATAAAAGCAACAGGTCCCCCAACACCTCGCAGTTGTCCCTCTTGAGGGCATGCCACACTTGTAAAACCAGACAAGGGCCAGCCAAGCAGCAGGTGTCTGGGGAAAAGTCTGAGAACAAAGCAGAGAGGGATTACCCAAAACATTTTTCAGCTTCCTATAGCTAAATCAAAAATATTTTACTGCCCTTTTTGGCTTTTCTTTTGCGTGTGGGTGTGTCTCCTGACTTTCTACAGCCATGTGACTTTTGTTAGCCCATAAATTATTCTTGAGACATTTTCTTTTATCTTTTCTAGTCATATGACAAGTCCTTTTAAAAAAGGGGATTCAAAACATTCACACTATCTGAAACTGTTTTCCACTCGCTGTTCCTAACACTTGATTTGAGGTTGTTTGGGTTTATGTTTGGAGATTCTTATATTCAGGAAACATTTAACAGAAATGTTAATATGGTCTCTTTACAGATACAACATATCTGGTTTAGATCTCAGTACAACAATATAAGCTTTGTCTTGTTCTCTCCCTCTAAGCACAGGAAGCTAAAGTTAGAACTGAAGGCAGAATCTCAGGAGGGGCAAGCAGAGCTGTCACAAGCAGCCAGCGCAGGCCAGCTGTTAGCCAGTTACCTCCAGCAGGAGCGGCCCCTTGTGTTGACAGATACATGGACACGTCTGAGGAAGAGACGTAAAACATGGGGAATGAACAGGCACTTGAGGACACAGGCTTTCCACCCAGAATGGACCCACTGTGGGCTAGGAGCACACTCTCAGTAAGGGAAGAAGCTCCAGCTAGATGTTCTGTGTCAGCCAGGACAGTAATGGCATGGGAGAATCAGATAGAAATCCCTATTATGCTGAAAGCTAAAAATTCATTTGCCTCCAAAGGATCTGTGGGGAAACAAACGAAAAAAAACAGCCACGTGGCTCTGATCACCCAAGTTCTAGATATGCAAGTGCCAAGTTTTGTCCAAATCTCAAAACCAGGAAGACATGCTTTTGGGAAAGCAACAGCTTTGAACTCAATTATCCAAACAAGGAGGAAACCTCCAGAAAATTGTGACTTGGTTTTGGGTTTCAGGAACATCCTAAGTACTGGCTCAACAGGGAGATAAGCTTGTTTAGACATTCTGGAAACTGGCTCATTGCTTCCAGCCTCACTGAGCTTACTACTAAGCAGTGGGTATAAAAGCAAGACTGATCCGAGAGTGAAGAGTCTTACCTAGAGGAGCCTTAGGGGATGTGCTCAACAAGTCAATAGATGGACCTTGGCTGGGATCTGTGGGCACAAAACCAGAAGAGAACACTCAGCAGATTGATTCTCAACCCTCTTCTTTTCAGTATGTTCACACCTCTACATTGCTCCTCTGCCCCCACAAATAAATCCAGTTACAGCTTTAAATATGCAATTTCCCAAGCAAAACAACTTTATGTCTCCACAGAGCAAATTATTCCTTCTGCAGTGTTCTTACCACACTACAAGAAAGTAAACACTCTGCAGGGAAATATACAAAGCTGTTTCAAATTACAGCTATGCCCCCAGGTTCTTGGTTTCCTTGTCCTTCACGCTAGAAATTTTTCTGTCCTATGTAATTTTCAGACCCACTAAATTCAAGGGGTAGAGAAAACTGTTTAGACAAATAATGTCTGAAAGCAGGAAAACAGGGCAGCTAATCCCCAAAACAGTTTTGTGTACATTTCAGGAAAAGCAAAGAACTGAGCCAAATTGAACAGTGTTTTTAGAAGTCTCCACTAATTTAACTAAACATCATAAGAATGTGCAGAACTTCCACTCCTTCAGGGCTGAACCAAAGGATAAGTTCAGCCCTTCCAACAGTGGTACAGAACTGTATTCTCCTGGAAATGAAGGCAGGTTCTTGGAAAAATTATTCAGTAAAGAACTTGAAACTTCGCTACCTTCTGATGACTTTGCTGCTTTTTCCATCTCTGGAGAAGACTGTGCAGGATTCTGGCTGGCATCTGCCACATCCCAGGTACTGGAAGACTGCAAGGAGATATTAATTCCAGTTATTTCCAGAAGATGAATGAACCAAACAATCCTGAATTTACTAAGGTTTAGTGATCTGTATTTAATTTTAGGCCAAAGGAAACTTATTCCAAACTTCAGACTATGCCGTCCTTGAACATAACACATGGACAAGTTCACATTCCTTTAGCAGGGACAAAAATGAAAAAAATAAAAAGGAAGCTAAGCTGAATGTAAGGCCAGGAGGAATGACAGAATCATTTGAGAAGCTCGATAGTGTGAGGACTTCCCAAGTGAAAGAAAATTAGTTTAAATCTGGGAAAAGTTGAATGAGTTTTCCTGGAAAAAATTAATCACCACTTCCACTGTCTCTATTTGCCATAGAGCCAATTCTTGCATTACCTGAGAAAGTCTGCCTGGCATGGTGCAGTTGCCCAAATCCAGTTTAGCAGGGTCTATGCACTGAAAAGTTTCTTCTAAACCAGAAGTTCAAAGTAATAGCTAGTCCTTGCTTTAACTGTACAAAGAAACTAAGCATTAACACAGCACACAAAGCATCTTCCAGGGCATAGGTGGTAGCTTTGAGTTCTTGAAGCTAAAGATGGTCTCAAAAACAAAGGACATGGATATCACAGGGACTGTTCAGACCTGTGACTGTGTCCCAGGCAGATGATTGAATCTGAGTTCCTCCACATTCCTACTGATTAGTCAATACAATTTAGAGTCCTTCTAAGCTAAGTGAGACTGCTCCTGGCTGAACAGCTGCTTCCTCCACATTCCTACTGATTAATTATACAATTTAGAGTCCTTCTAAGCTAAGTGGGACTGCTCCTGGCTGAACAGCTGGCTATTGGAGAGCTACTAAGGCTGCCTGGTTTAGGCAGCTCTTCTCACCTGTGTGTGCTCCATGAAGAAATCAGCATCGCTCTTCTCAGGGGAGTGCCCAGGGGCTCCACTCAGTCCATCTATAAGCAACTAAAGAGAGGAGAAGGAAAAAAGAAGGCATCCTACAAGACTCAGCATCCAGCACCACCCATGTAGCACTCCAGAGCTCTGAGACTTACCTCAGTGCCATACTTGGCCATGGCAGCGCTTGCCAGCTGCCGGATCTTCTCCCTGTACATCTGGGCAGCCCGACTGTTATATTTAGCATTGGCATCTGTGGTGGTGCAGCCGTGCTGGCGGAAGAAAGCAGTCTGAAAAGAGAGGAATAGTCAGTCTCCTGACTGCTAGATCATACTCAAGCAAGCACTAGACAAACTCAACAGAAAAAGAAAACTTCCCAGAGACAGAGGATGAAATGCTGAGAACACAGCATAAACCAACCATTCACTGATCAGCTTTCTACAAAAGTCTCACTCCGGGGGCCTATGAGAATCATCCGCCTTCTCTACCGAGATGATTCTGAGTCACAAAGCTGAGCACGAGCTTTCAAACTGATCAGTGTTAGTAACTTCTATCATTTAAGAAGGCTACGCCTCTCATTTAAATGAGGTGCAAAAAAAGGGAGAGCTGCACATCACAAAACAACACATGCAAAGGTCACAGTCTCACTTCCAAGCACACTTGACAAATTCCCCCATTCATTACACATTTCAGGTCAGACTGGTACCAAGAAAGCCACACTAAGGAAAAAAAACCAAAAAACAAGAAAGAGAGGATGTGGATTAGCAAGAGGGAAAGGAAGCAAAATGCCTACAGAGGCTCCTCACCGCGTTGGCATTGCTGCCTACTTGCATACACCTCAGCTGGAACCAGCTCCAGTTAGAATCCAACTCTGTGGACCTGTACAAGAACCAATAATTTCTATTAATAAAAACCAGGCAAACCAAATGCAAAACCAAGCTCTGGCCTAAAATGGTGAGATATCTCACTACTATTCCAAAGTGTAGGAGGCAAAGGTGGAAAGAACATGTTGGGAATTTCTTTGCTCCTCTAAAAATTAATTTCAGCTTTTGAAGCGAGGAAAAATACCAGCTTTTATCCAAATTTTGAGGCTCTCCCTTGTAATGCTTGTTTAGAGGGCAGAGCTTGAGCTAGGAAAGCACAGCCAAGAGCTTTCGTTCTACATGTGATCTCACCACAACATGAGAGACTCAAATTCAGCCCGTCCCACAGGTTAGGCCAAACACGTGACAAAGCAACTGAGAATACATCCAAGTGAAGCTAAGCGACACAGAGTGTCTCATACCAGTTACTCAACTTCTCTCCTAACAAGTAAAGGTCACAGTTCTCTTAAAATGCTAATTTTCACAAGTACTGAAAACAAGAAGTAGGCTGAAAAGCCAACACCATCTTCCCCATTAGGCTGATACCAAAAAGACTGAACAATACTCCTCTTTTTGCCTTGCTCAGCATTACGAAAAATTATGTACACCACACTGCTGCCTTACTGGCAAGATTCACACACCACACTCTTCTCCCGCTTCCTACAATGCCAAGTCCAGACAGCGTTTCTGCAAAGTTAGCGAAAGCAACACGTCGATATTCCACCTGAGGCGCTTTGGAAACTCCATTTTGGAAGCGCTGAGTGGCCCAGACCCTGCTGCGAGCACGCCTCATCCACCCCGAGGTGACGGCCCGGCGGCACCGCTTCCCTCCCGCTGCCGAGGCGGGCCGGCTGCTGGCGGCAGGGCCGCGCTCCCCACGCACCTGATGAAGCTGAGGTGCACGCCCAGGGAGCGGTGCACGCCGGAGCAGTCGATGCACAGGAAGACCCCGTAGGTGATACTGGCCCAGCTCGGGTTCTTGGCGCCGCAGTCGAAGCACGACTAAAGCGAAGGCAGAGGGACAGCCGGGTTGAAGCGACGGCTCTGCCGCTCCGCCACGGCTCGGCGGCCCCGCCGCTCTGCCCAGGCGCTCCCCAAGCGCCCCTGCCCGGCCGCCCCAACAGCCGCCGCAGCGCGGCCCGGAGCCCACCGCGGCCCAGTCGGAGCGCAGGCCGCGGCCGCAGAGCGACAGCCCGGCACGGACAGTCCGGCGGACCCCGGCCGCTCCCCGCTACCTTGTTGGCCGGCGCTGCCCGAAGCCGCTTGAAGAGGGTCTGGATCTCCGTCTTGCTCGGCTCCGCCGCCATGATCTCTCCTTCCCAGACACCCCCGCGGGGACGGCAGCCGGCCGGGCCCAATCGGCGCCGCGGCCGCGGTAGAACCGCGCAGGGCCGGCCCCCCCGCCGCGTCCGTGGGTGTGCAGGGCGAGCAGCGAGCCGGGTCCCTTTCCCTCCGGTGCCGGGGTGTGGGACAGCGTTAGCTCCGGGTCACCCCGCTGCTGCGCCGGCTGCCGGCCGGACGCCTCGTGGGGGTCACGGCGTGGCCCTGCGCACATCGGACGTTGCGCGGCCGGGCCCCCCAGAGCTCGGAGCGCTCCCCGCAGCCCCAGCGCTGCTGCGGAGCCTGCCGGCTGTGCCCCGGGGCCGGCTGTGCTCTTGGGGCCGGCTGTGCTCTTAGGGCCGGCTGTGCTCTTGGGGCCGGCTGTGCCCCGGGGCCGGCTGTGCTCTTGGGGCCGGCTGTGCTCTTGGGGCCGGCTGTGCTCTTGGGGCCGGCTGTGCCCTTAGGGCCGGCTGTGCCCTTGGGGCCGGCTGTGCCCTTGGGGCCGGCTGTGCCCTTGGGGCCGGCTGTGCTCTTAGGGCCGGCTGTGCTCTTGGGGCCGCTGCGGGCCGGACTGAGAGAAGGGGGCTTTGGAATAGCGACGGGCAGTGCCTGCCGTGGGCCATTGCTGCCGGGGAAAAAGCTCAGAGCAGCGTTTACAGGCATCACCTGCTCCAGCAGCCAGCCTCAGGGCACCCGGCCTGGTGCGCTGGCACCAACGAGCGGGGATTTGGAAATGATTTACAGAACCACAGAATGCCCTGAGTTGGAAGGCACCCACACAGAACATCGAGTCCAGCTCCTGGCCCTGCACAGCATATCCCTAAGAGTCACACCATGAGCCTGAGAACATTGTCATAACACTTGTGGAGCTCTGTCAAGCTGGTGCTGTGACCACTTCCCTGGGCAGCCTGTTCCAGTGCCCAAACACCCTCTGGGTGATGAACTCTTCTCTGATATCAAACCTAAATCTCCACTGACAACCCTAGGCCTGACACTGGTCATTCAAGAGAAGAGATCAGTACCTGCCCCTATGCTTCCCCTCCTGAGGGTATTGAAGACCATGATGAGGGATGAGGTCCCTTCAGTTTCCTCCAGGCTGAAAGACCAAGTGACTTCATCCACACCTGGTATGGCTTCCCCTTCAGACTCTTCTCCATCTTCATAGCCCTGATTTAATCAGGGGAGACCTCTCAAGAAGCTGTTACTTACTATGCAGTAATCAAGGCATCATGGCATCATGAGGCAGTAATCAAGGTAGGGAAGTTGTTATTTCAGAGCAAAAATTATGTCAGGGCCCTTAACACTGCTTTGTTACCTGCCTAGAAACAGTGGGGTATTGGCTAGAAAGTCATTCAGTTACAATGCAAGAAAAATAGAAAAATATGGTTGTGCTGTGAGCTAGAAGTCAATGGCACATAGTCCACTTCATGCTTTAGCACAAAAAAAAAAAGTTCAGGAGGATGAGAACAACAACAAAAGTTAATCAGTAGCATGGTACTACAGAGTACAGAGATGGAATGCATTGGGATTTCCTTACCTCTGAAAACGGGTTGCTCTGCAACACCATCTTGTCACTAAAAGAAACTCTTAAATAAGTGTACTAATATCTGGACAAGACATCTTTCAGTATAGACTTAAAGGCTTTCTTCACTCATTTCCACAGATGTTAAGGTAGACAATAGAATCCCTTGCAATGGGAACCTAGGACCCATGGTCTTAGGAAGTTTCATAAAGTATTGGGACATAGAGATGCAATCAGGAGCAACAGAGTTTTCAAAGGAAAAAAAAAAGCCCTGCAGAAAAACCCTTGCAGGTTTAGCAGGGTCTGGTGTTCTGGGAATCAGCAAAGCTCCAACTGTGATCACAGTGAGACCTGATATGGAGGGCACATGCAGTAAGATGAGAGGCTTCTGGCTGACACATCTGATTGAAGCTGCTGTGAGATGAGTTTCTGAGCTGGATAGTGAAGCCTGATCTAGCCTGACAGAGCTCATTCTTGGCAGCAGTCTTGTCTGCAGTACTCCCTGGTTTCTGTTGCTTTTATTCTATTACCTTAATGGTGGCTATATGCCATTTCTGGGATTACACACACACACGTGCTGGGGAAGCAATGCAGGTAAAAGTAACTGATGGCATTTTCCTCACAGCTATTTTTAAACAGGTTGAGTTCCCTGATGCCATTCATGGTGCAGCTGTCCTGGCAGTCATACCAGGAGAGCTGATGTCAGGGTGCAGTAAGGGCTGGCTGCACGCTAGGACAAGGAGAGCTGTGAGGGGCTGTTCCTGAGGCCAGCAGCCAGGGCCCATTCCCACAGTACCTGACCACAGAGAGCTGGGCAGGCCTGGCATAGCATCTGGATTTGACCCAGAATTGAGATAGCTGGACAAGCTCATGGTGATGAGGTTGCTTGCAGTCAAACTGGGTCAGGATCAGGATCAGGCCCAGTGGTTGCCAGGTGTGTTTGTGGTGATAAGGCAAGGCAAGCCTGAGGTCAGGCTGATGAACCAGCCTACAGGTAAAGATCAACAAAGCAGTCCTCTAATGTAGCTCAGACAGGGCCTGGGAACTCTGAGCTGAGCCTAAATGCAAACACACCCTGCCCAAGCCCTGTGGGCAGGGGGCTTTGGGCAGAGCCACAGGTGAGGCTGCTCTGGACAGTGAAGGTCTGTTAGTGCATTCAGGGCCCTGACAGGTGAAGCCACAGAAGGGCAGGAGAGGGAGTCTCTGGTGCCAGCTTGTGTAAGCTGCATCTTGTGCAGAGGAGGCAGTTCAGATGATGAGAGTGCATTGGGAGTGTTTGTGTTCATGTTGGCTGGAGCTGCCTCAACCTGAGCTGTTTGCTCCTGCCCTCTCATCAGTTACGTAGTGCTGCTCCCCTTCTCTGCTTGTTTCTTTCTTGTGTTTGAGAATGGGATGGGCATCAGTCAGCAGGGAGTGAGCAATTGTATTACTTGCTTTTCTTGGGTTTAATTCCTTTTTTCCTATTATTATTATATTTTACTTTATTTCATTTATTAAACTGTTCTTATCTCCACCCACCAATTTTATCTTTTTCCAATTCTCTTCCCCATCCCAGTGGGTGGTGTGGGGTGGGTGGAGTGAGCTGTGTAATGCTTGGATGCAGGGTTAAATCATGACAGGGAGAAATGGCAATGCTCAGGAGGAGCCAAGGCAGCCTCAGAGGCCAGTAGGTCAGTGTCACACTTTGTCTCTGGTGGTCTGTGCTAGGAGACATGGGGAGCTACAGTGCCAGCTCCTCTCCTCCATGGAGGAAGCAGGGTTTCTGTTCACTGCATTGTGTCCTAGGAGTGCCTGCTACAGCAGGGTTGCTTCTGCTTCTCTACCTCAGCAGGCTCTCTTGCAGGCCTTCAAACCCATGCTGGTTGCTCCAGATCCTGGCAAGGCTGCTGATCCTGTCCATCAGTTTGGCATAAAAGCAGCAGGGAGAGCATGCTGCTGGTCTGAGAAATAATCAGTTTTTTGTTGCCTTTGTCAGTACAGGAAAGACCTCCTGCTGCTGACTGTTCCCTGTGAATGAGTGCTGTCACTGCACTGTTCTTGCTATTTCCTGCATCTGTTTCTTTTGCATCTCATGTGCTTTAGTGCTGAATTTCTGAGTGCCAAGCTGACAGCCTGCTCTTTGGCTCTCAGCTTCCCTATCCATCTACATCCCAACTGTCTCTACCTCTTTCCTCCTGACTGCTGTGACACCAGACCCTGATGTAGCCTTCTAAATCAGAGATCACCCTCTGTTATCCACCTTTGCCAAGAAAAGATAGTTCCCAGCATTATCCAAGACAGCAAAGGAAAGCAAATGATGATGGCCAGGCATGATCTTGGGAGTCTGCCATACCACCAGGGACACATTTTCAATACAGAAGTCTGGTTATCTGAGGGCATGAGGTTACTGTGAAAGACCTGGAGAGATTCAGGAGGGAAGTGCTGTGATGGGGATAAAATATGCCCTGCACTTTCAGATCTGAGCCAAAGGTAAAAAGTGCTTCTCTGTGAGTCTGTCCAAAAGCAGGGTGGTAGAGGGAAAAAGGGGACCTTGCTCTTTTCTCACTGCCCAGCAAAGAACATGGGTGAGAGGACTGTGCAGGAGAGACATGAGGTGGCTGAGTCTTCCTCTCCTATTCAGACCCATTGGCCTCTCACACTTGCTGAATGAGAAGTTTTGGGAAAGAAGCTGGCAAATTGAGTAAACTACCCAAGAAGTAACAGGGAAATCTAGTTCCCCATGGTTCACAGTGTTGTGTTTTGGACTACCAGAAATCTACAATGATGCCTTGGGCAAAGCAGCAATTCCTAACACAAATGATTTTTTACAATTTTTTTTCGTCCTCTCTTACTAAGCAGTTCACAGACACTAACCAATCCACATGATTTCCCTTGGGGATAGCCAGTAACTCTGGGAGAAATCTCTGCTCAGTATTTCAGGGCAGCCTGGCTATTTTCAGTAGTGGAAGGAGCAAAGATAGCCATGAATGGAGGAGAGGAAGATTGAGTAGAAAGCATTCTCCTTCTCACTACAACAAGGGACAGGTTCTCAGCAGGTATGCTCCTTCCCAGCTGAAAGGGACAGTGTGTAAGAGGATGCTCCTAATTATCTGTGGTTTCAGGGATCACATGGAAAACTTTTCCTTGGATTAGGTTAGGTTTCTGTCAAGTCAGCAAAGTGCCCTGCCATGTATTCACTTGGATTGATGCAAGGGAAGCAGCTGGCTGAGGGTTGTGGCTGAGCAGGCTGCCAGTGTGCTGGACAGGGTGTAATTAGTAGCTGCCTTCCTAGGAAAAAGTATAGCAACAAGACAGGCAGTCATGTCACTCACTGGCTCCATGCAATGCTTCCAGCAAGATCTAAGATAAGGAGCTAATGCTGTATGTGTACAGTGAATAAAGTTTACAACTCACACAATTTCACTGCAGTCTTGCAAATGTTGAGGTTTGGAGAAAAGCCAGCAAAGGTTGAAGGAACACATAACTTAAGGAACACAACAGATGGGTAACACTGAGAAGTGTAGTCATGGATGGCTTCTCTGATTTGGGGTTGTGTTGCAGCCAAAAGGCTGGTCCTGCTGCACGTGCTGTCACTTGCACCCACTGTGGGAAGTGGCAGCTGTGGGCTGAGTTGTGTCCTGAGCCCTGCTCAAACAGCAATTCTCATTGCATTGCTGCGCTCATCTTGGGCTTGTGCAAGTGCTGCATAAGTAAGGCAAGGGCTCGGAAGTCTAGGCTAGGAGAAGAGAGGACTGTCCCTTTCAGCTGTGCCAGGCAGCCTTGCTGGGCTGCCAGACAAAACTGCTGCAGTTTGATGGAAAGGCTGATGGGAGTGTAGAGCCAGGGAGGAGTGTGCTGCTCCTGAGTAGTTGTT